GATACAATAGGGTTCCATGCTCCGATGGAGACATGGAAACGCTGCTGCTTTGCAGCTGCGTTACCCTGCTTCCTCGGGCTTGGACCCCTAATAATCTACCGGTGGAATAAGACATTTGCACTTGGTAAGACTTCTTGAAATAAAGAAAATTGCCAGACTAACAAGATTAATAATCTAATATATTCTGCTCTTGTTTAAAACAAGATGAAAAATACTTTTTGGCTGGATATAATAATGTAAGACTTGGTTAGTTGGATAAGAGCTTTAAAAAAACTGCATGTTATGGTTTTCAGGTCTAGTATGTTGGCTGCCTCGAGGTTGGGATTTGACATTTTGTGTTGTGTTACTCACGAGTGTCAGCAAAGGCTCTCATGTTGCTCATACAGCCCTGCTTTGCTTGATATAACTCTGACTTTTGGTCGATACAATATAATGTTGATATTGTATCATTAATATAGTGATAAAACTGTACCTACAAACCTGATGTCTTTAATTAGAATTATGACGAGTCAGAACAGAAAGTGAGATTTCATATTTACTACTTACTAACTTATAAAGATATTTAGAAATGGAGCCTCCCTTAGGGTTGGGCAATATTGGCAAAAAAATTAATCAGGATTAATTGTGGTATTTAGCCGATAAAGATTAATTTGACGATTAATCCCCTGGACACCCTTATGTCCTGGTCACATGACCCATTTAGTGGGAAATATTTGCTCTTCATAAAAATCTGTTCCAAATTGTATCAAAATTACAGACTTCAGGCTATACATTAAATTTTAAACTGTGTTGGTAGTTAAATAAATTACAGAACTTTTTTTTAATGTTCGTCATATTTGAAGCAGAGAGGAGCACCGAGCGGACTGACCAAGGAAATATCCAGTCAGTCCGCCTGGTGGCATTAATCATATCAATCATCAAGTGCCAAAAAATAATCGATTAATGTTTTTCTGATGATTAATTGCACACGATACGATTATGCCCAACCCTAGCCTCCATACAAGTTAAAGTTAAATCTGACATTGTTTGAACTCGTCAGGAAGTAATCAGAAATATCTCATAGACAGAAATGTAAAGTCAATGTTGTTGATGAAAAAGCTCATATTTGAGTGTCTGTAGTGCACCTTTAATGCCGTTTGGTGTCTTTGCTCAGGTTCCTGTGGTCCAGAGCTCTGCGTCCTCCGTTCAGCCTCCTCCCAGCCACAGCTCCTCGGGCCTGGGGAAGCTGCCTGTGAGGCCGGGCTTACACAACCCCGAGCCTCAGAACCTCCGCACCGCACAGGTACATACGTGTGTTTAAACATGTTCAGAGTGTCAGAGAGCCAGATTACATCGTCACTGTGTCGTATGTGAATAAATGAGACCAAACTGATGAGTTCAGATCATTGATTTATTGTAGATGTCAGTAGGGCTGCAACGATTAATCGACGACTAATCGATTATTAAAATAATCGATGACTAATTTAAAAATCGATTAATCGTTTTCTTTTTTTTTGTTCTTTACTTTGTTTTTCTCTCCAAACTGCTTTGACACCTTCCACTGCCACATCTGCCTTTCTGTCCTTGACACACATGCACAGTAGTGGTANACATTGGTGAATGTCACAAATTCTCCTAAATCACTCGTACGCACAACTTAAGAACAAATCTGTGCGTACCAACGGTTCTTGCATGAGGCCCATTGTTTTTTGAATCTTAGAGTTTAAAAAGTAACTAAACAACAATCATAACTTTGACTGGAAATGGTGAAAATGGTGTTTTCTCTTCATCAGGCTCAGTGATCTGTTCTTCAGCTGTTAGTGCAGCATTATTGATAAAGGAGTAAATGTTATAGTGGTTTAAATGACTAACTTGAACATGCTGCAGAGGCTGTGTGTAGAACTGTAATGGTGCTTTCTGACTGTGATGAACTGAGGATGTGCGTCTCCTTGCAGGCCAGCCAGCAGGTGGCGGCCTCTCAGCGCTCCGGCTCCAGTGCCATGTACATGAACCTGGCCCACATGCAGGCGGCGGCGGCAGTGGGGGCCGGCGGCGTGGCGGGCGGCCTCAGCGGCGCCTCGTCCGTCAGCCCGTCCACCCTGTCCGGCTCGGCCAGCGGGGCCGTGAGCTCCATGGCCGACCAGGCCAGCAGCCAGGCGGCCGCCAAGCTGGCCCTACGGAAGCAGCTGGAGAAAACCCTGCTGGAGATCCCTCCGCCCAAACCCCCGGCTCCGCTCCTTCACTTCCTGCCCTCCGCTGCTAACAGCGAGTTCATCTACATGGTGGGCCTGGAGGAGGTGGTGCAGAGTGTGCTGGACAGTCAGGGTAAGCAGAAAGCAGTTTTGTCAACAGGTTTTACAATGTGTGTCTCCCTGCTTACATGCTGCACTCTGTGTTCTCTGCAGGTAAACTCAGAGGGACTCTGGCCCGCATGGAGCCCTTCTTCTGTGCCCAGTGCCAAACCGACTTCACTCCCCACTGGAAACAAGAGAAGAGTGGGCGGATCCTCTGCGAGCAGTGCATGACGTCCAATCAGAAGAAGGCTCTGAAGGCAGAGCACACCAACAGGCTGAAGAACGCCTTTGTGAAGGCTCTGCAGCAGGAGCAGGTCAGCACTGATGGATAACCCACTTCGTTAAAGTACCCCATAACGAGGGAGTGATGAGAGGATTTCACACACTTCTGTGCAGGGCGGCAACAACGAATCGATAAAATCGATAAAAATCGATTATTAAAAGCGTTGGCAACGAATTTTATTATTGATTCTTTGTGTCACGGGATTTATGCGTCCCTCGCCGTGTCGCAGAGCCGATTACATCACCCGCACAGCGTTGTCAATGCTGGCTGACCTAAATAAAGTTTAGGAAGAAAAATACTACCTGTAAAGACCCGCCCTCTCTGACTCTTCGGTGAAAAGCAGAGACTTCGAACTTTAAACCAGTTTTTAAATCGTGTTGTTAGGTCAAGTAGATCTGAAGTTATGATAAAAAGTATCTGTTACATTTATTCTTTTTAAAAGACGTCTGATTTGATGCGCCGCGTCGAGAGGAGGAAGTGTGTGTGTGGGGGGGGGCTTAAATCCAACGTTTCCTCCTCCTCTCGGGACAAAAGTATAAAACTCCAGTTTTTTCTGACTGAGGCCCAAAGTTATTTGTTGAGCAGCAAAACGGTTCAGAACGAAGGAAAAAAAAAAGACGCGATCGAGCAGCAAGTCTGCGGGGGGGTGAGGGGGGGCTGCTTCAGAACCGTTTTTATTGGGTCAAACAGAACCAACAAGTATGAAACAAAAAGTAAAGAATTAGAGAAAAAAATGTTAAATGTAAATAAATTCTAATTATAATAAATTAATAATAGTTTTACATCTAAAAATCATATTTTATTATTTTAATCTATTTTCCTCATTTAGCAACCTGTTAAATTTCTGTTATGTTTCATGTAGGAGAAATACACATTTTTTTCAGTCAGTATTTAATACAGCTGGCAAAATAAATAGTTAAAATATGTATTATGTGCTTCTGTTTTTTAAGTCAGGAGATTATAAAAAAATCCTTCTTGATTCAAGAGTTAACTCCGGTTTTTTAAAAAATGGCTGCTTATTAATTAATTGTTAATAAATCTATAAGATAAGTCAACTTCAGATTAATTCATTATCAATAACTTGCAATAATTTACATCTACTCATATTCATGTAATTAAGCGTTTTAATGATTTGGCCGATTAATCGATTAATTGAAAAATAATCAACAGATTAATCGATTATTAAAATAATCGTTAGTTGCAGCCCTAGATGTCAGGCCAAAACCTGGCCTTTCAGATTTACATATTCATTTTCATCTTTGACGTTTTTTGTAGTTTTAAGGATTGACTAAAGAAAAGTGTCCAAAAAGGCAGGTTGTGGTTTGTATTATTAGTAGTATTAATTTTAATGGAAACCTGATCTTGACACATGTATTGTGTGTTTAGGTTAGCTGAAATTCATTCTTTAAATCTAGTTAAGCTCTCCTCTGTATATGGTACAGCTGTCAATAAAGATATGTGATGTTGTTTAAATGTTTAATATACTTTAGAGAGTTTAAAACATTTCTAATGCATTTTAACCTTAATCTTTTAGGTTAAAAGTGCAACAAGTTATTGTATCATGGCTGTTGCATCTCAGAATATAGTGATTTAAATAACATTGTTTTTTATTTGAACAAAATATTAGATGTGTCTGAATTTAGGGATTCACCAATCACTTCCTATTTGTTTCCTCTTTTAGTCAAACAGAAACTGTGCTGATATTTGACCTGTTTTAACATCTTTTAATGTTCAACACCTGCTTGTGTCCCAGCGAGCGATAGCCCCGGCTCACATTAGCACAGTTAGCAGCAGTCTGTGCTCAGAGCTGCCTCTATTAACACCCACAGCTAGCCTCCCTCTGCGGTGTGTTTACTGACTGGAAACATGCAGGATTTGTCAGTGTTGATTGGCTGATCAAGTTCAATCAAGCTGAGAGTCGTTCTATGATGATCATGAGCCGATTCAAAGCTTGCCTGAAACTCTTATTTTACCCTTTGAGTCGAAACATTTTGTCTGTTCTTTCTTCATTTGTTGACACAGAGATAATTTAAAATCAGTTTGTCATCGAAGCAGAGATATTAGTCCTTTATATTGAAAAAGTAGAAACTCTGATCCCTTCTATAACAGGGTTATTCAACTAAACTGCTCCAGAGGCCACAGTTACTGCAGGTCAACAGCTGAGTGGCCAAACATCCAGCAATTAAAGTTATTATGTAAATAAACCAAGTATTACAAAGATCTGTTACCTTTGAAATACTTTATTTTGCTGCATTTAATCATGAATACAACATACAGAACCTTATAAAAGTAATAATTAAACAGTTTCAAAAACAAAAAGAACATGTTCTGCCTCCTGTTTGACACAAATAATATTTTGACATCTCTGACTTGCCAAATATTTACAGTAAACCAATTTTATTTTCATTTTCATCATTTTATCTTCATCTGCTTGTAGTTTTAACTGTCTTGAATATTCATAGAAATAGTTTTTACCAGCTTGTAGCCAAGATCCTGATGTTTCTGTAGATACCAAACATGTCTATGTTTAACTAAAGGAACTTAGAGTAATTAAAGTAGAAAACCAGGGGTTTGTGCTTGAAAGATGAATGAACCAATTGGTGGCCCGAACTTTGGTCACTCGCAGGCCGGATGTGGCCCACGGGCCGCCAGTTGAATAGCCCTGTTCTATAAGAAGTTGTCAGGAGAACTTTATTTGTAAAGATGCTCCTGACCTGCTGTGCACTGATACATCTGATGTCACTCAGAAATGTGTTGATGTGGGAGGAGCTTATTTTGTTTGATAAAGTTCAAACTTTTGGCTTTTTTTTGGTCTTTTTCTTTGATTTATTTTATTCTCCTTATTTAGTTGTTTTATTTATCCTCCCCCAAATCAAAGCTTTTTACCTTGATACCTTTTGTTATTTAGTTAATCGAGTTACTTAATGAAACGTTTCAGGTCTGAATCAGTTCTTTGTCTCACCTGATTCCCTGCAGCTCCATATAAAAACAGCTCACTGGAAGCTCTTGCTGTGGTTATTATAGAGCCATCTGTTGGAAGTTTCTGGAATGCCTAAATAGCACAAAAGTCATCAAATCGGTGCCTGTGTACCAGTGTGTGTTTTTCTGTGTGTAATATGAATTCACTCAGCGAGGAGGTGCTGCCATCTGCTGTCCGTCCTGCAGAGAAACCCTCATTTCATGGTTTTATTTCTTTGCGTGTGTGCAGGGTCATACAGTCATCCGGTCAGCCAATGCCAACCTGCCGCCCATGCTGATGTCCCAGCGAGTCATCGCCCCCAACCCCTCCCAGCTGCAGGGCCAAAGGGTCTCCTCCAAGTCTGGGATGTCTCGATCCGGCTCCAGCAGCCTGGCCAATGCCGTCAGCTACCAGCAGGTATAAAACTACACACTGGACTGATGGAGGACAAACACAGACTTGTTGTGGGTGAAACAACAAAACAAGAAGAGTTCAGGGTTGGAAGAGAGCTGTGATTGTTTTAGTCAGAGAATATCTACAGACTGTATGTAGGAACAGAACATTTCCCAGGTCTCCTGCACAGCAAGTGGATGTAATCTAATCAGCAGCTTTAATCTTTATTTTTGTCTTTTTACACTGATTTATGCATCAACATATCAACACTTTGATTAGATCATTACAAGAGGAAACTCAAAGTTACTGTGCTTTAGAGAAGAAAGTTAAGAGATGTTTGGGTTTTTGAACTGTGGCTCATTAAACAGGGTGTCCACGGGTCCTTAAAACGTCTGAAATTCACATATCTAAAGTTAAGACCTTAAAAAGTTTTAAAGGGATTCATGAGTAGTTGTAACATAAGACTTTATTTGATAAACATATTTTAACTGTAAAATAAAGACTGTAAAAGTACTGTAGGCTGTTTTAGTTTTTATAATTTTTAAACTAAAAGTTTAAAAATATATTTTAACACGGACGGGGCCATTTTATTTACACGCAAAGCATTCTGGGTAAATGATGACGTGGATAGGTCC